CATCACCGTCACAATGCACGGGATAGCCGTGGCGAACCCATCACTCGATCAGTGGGTGGACGCCATCCCACGCTCTGCTGCATCGTTGCCGGAGAACATCACCGTCTGAACAGAGTGAAGAGCTGCCAGCAAGACATCGATGCAGTGGGTGCCATCCCGCGAGAGGCTGTCAAAGCGATGGTGGACATCCTGGCCTTGCCGAAGATGCACCCGGATCGTCGCCGCTTGCTCCAAGACACGTCACCTCTCGTGCACGCCCTCGTCACCTCTCTTCGGTGAACGGTCGCACACATCGACATGACAGATGCCTATTACTGCAACATGCACGCCAATCTACGTGGTGTAGCCGCCGCAACCGGGCTGCCACTCCTCATGTTTAACATCAACCCCGCCGACTTGCACAGTGCGGCTGCAGTCGTGGCCGCTGGGCAATTTTTGGAATTTGGCGAGGATGGTGCTCCGTTGCGGGAGGAGCGTGTCATGGACAAGTGGCGGCGGGTGCAAAACAACCCCTACACCAGCCAAGCACTCCTCAACGCGGTTAAGCTCGCCTTCATGGACATCCTTTTTGGTTTCAAACCTGGCGACAAGCGGCAGAGCAACCCCGACTGCTTCTGTGGCACCGTGTTCCACATCTGCATCAAGGTGGAGCAGAGTGGACGCCTCGCCCTGCACTTGCACGGCATGGTGCACCTGGCAGCGATACCGTGGACAAAATGCGGGCCCTGTTTGAGGGGCCCAACTGCCGCACTCTGGCGCTGGCACACGCCCTCTGCAGCATGTGGCTGCCTGAGCCTTACTACGACATTCAGGACAAAGAGCGACGAGTCTTCTGGCAGACACCCCTGGTCACGGCTGCACCCACCACACCAACGGCAGTTGCACCGACGCCCATGGAAACATCAACGGCAGCAACGAATTCTGGTGATGACAGCATGACAGATGCTACTGCAGAAGAGGATGACGGCCTGACTCAAGCAGAACCTGGCAGCGCCTCGGGCACAGATGAAGACATTGGCAATGGTGACAATGGAGTCCAGCCAGCCCCCCCCGCAGCGTCCGCTGGCCGCCCCCCAGCCATCCGCGCGCCTCAGCCAGATGGATCCATGCCGGCACCCGCGTATGACTTTGCCATTGTCGCCCATG